CCTGAGATCAGGAGTTTTGGGAAGGGTCTGAAGCTGAAACTCGTCATTTCAGATGCATGGGGATAATTTGGGAATGGACTATATTTAGGCTCCTTTTCTGCCTGGAGACTCTGGCTAGATCTGCGCCCCACACAGAACCCCTTGCCCCAGTCCTGGGCATGTCCCAAGGTAGCAGCCTTCTTCGATGGAAGCTGCATTGGCTGGAGAGGGAAGCAGGGAGCCAGGGCTTCCTTCTCTTGTGTCTACCATGTTTCCCCGAAAATAAGACAGGGTCTTATATTTATTTTTCCTCAAGAAGACACCCTAGGGCTTATTTTCAGGAGATGTGTTGTTTTTTTCTAAGTACAGTACAACAATCTACATTTATTCAAATAGAGTTAAGTCATCTTCTTCTGGAACATCATCATCACTCTCCAAACCCCGAATTCCATCCTGAATTTCTTGCGACTCTATTTCCTTTAGAACCATTGGCCCCAATCTCTCATGTGGAGCAATAGAGCTCTCATGGGGCAGATGAGAAGGGCTGCTCGTCTTCTTTGCCGCACTGCGACAAAATGCATGGGTTGTGCAGACGCGCTGCGTAGCCACGCCCATCACAAGGTCTTATTTTCGGGGTGGGGCTTCTATTGCGCAAATGCTTAGAAATCCTGCTAGGGCTTATTTTCGGGGAAACACAGTATATGGAGTTTATACGTTAGCTTGGCCCCCAAAGGTGGGATATCCTGAAGTTGAGGGCCCCTGTGGGTCTTAGGTGGCCTCAGAGATTCTTGGATTAGCAGAAAGGAATGGTAAGATGGCTTTGACAGGCCCCTCAGGGGGAAATTTAGGACAAATGGCAGACAGAATTGAATTCCTCAATTCCCTCTTCTCTGCATTTTCCATCTCGTGGGGGTTTCTAAAAAACAACTCCAGAACTTATATTAAGATGCCCTCTTTGAGTTTCCCTGGAGAACCCAAACACCTTGAGACTCTGGCTCCCTGGGAGGGCCACTGTTGTCACCAGGTTGCACATTCACGTTTCAAGGCCAGCCAGGGCCCAGAATGTCCCATGCTGGGACTCAAGCTTCTCCTGTAGTCCATACTTAGAGGCCTCACAGGTGCCCAGGTAGCGCTGGACCTAGAATGAGTTGGGAAGCATTCCTTTCCCTTCTGTTTTCTGGAAGAATTTGTGTAGAATTTGTATTATTTCTTCCTTAAATGTTTGGCAGAATTCCCTAGTTAGGTCACATGGGTTGATAGTCATGTTCGAGACTTACTGCTTTTCTGTTTACTTATTCTATCAATTATTGGCAGACAGATGTTGTTTTTTGGCTTTGTTACTATAGTGGTTTTACTTTTTTTTTGAGACAGAGTCTCACTCTGTTGCTGGGGCTAGAGTGCCGTGGCGTCAGCCTAGCTCACAGCAACCTCCAACTCCTGGGCTCAAGCAAGTCCTGCCTCAGCCTCCTGAGTAGCTGGGACTACAGGCATGCGCCACCATGCCCGGCTAATTTTTTCTATATATTTTTAGTTGGCCAATTAATTTCTTTCTATTTTTAGTAGAGACAGGGTCTGGTTCTTTCTCAGGCTGGTTTTGAACTCCTGACCTTGAGTGATCTGTCCACCTCAACCTCCCAGAGTGCTAAGATTACAGGCATGAGCCACCACTGGCTGGTTTTACTTTTAAATCATGACTTTTCTGGTGTCTTAACTGAATGCGTGGTATGTTTGGCCAGGCCCAGCTGGTCAGACCTCCAAAATCTCCCACCACTGGACACCCTTCAGCATCTCCTGTCAGCCCACGGATCCCCACTGAGCTGCACATGCAAGCCAACAACGCAGCGGTAAGTCTGTGCAGAGATCCGAGCTCCTCTGCACGGCTCCCTCCTGCCTGGTCCCCTGTCCAGTATCCCATTCCAGTTGCCTTGGCAGCCCCAAACTCCAATCTCTGTTCTTCCACCCATGAGCCCCCTGCTCCCTGTTTGGGTTCCAGTTCTCTGTATGGTCGCTTGGACAGTGGCCCGGGGCAGGAAGCCAACGTGAATCTGGAGGCAGCCTTTTCTGTACATTTGTGGCAGCTACTTAGCAGCTCAGTAACTATCTGTTGAATGCATGAACAGATTGAGGGGGATCCCACACCGCCTGTTAAGGTCTCCGATGTCTCTGTGTCTGGAAGAAGGGAGGCCTGTGACACTGAAATCGTGACAACAGTGGATGTTGGGGACAAGCAAGTTCCAAGTTGCAAACTTAGGGAACAGGTTTGTCTGGGGCATTTAGAGGGTCTGGGAGTTCTGAAGGGGAAGGAGCCATCAGATTACAAATCTGGGTAAAATCATCACAAGGAGATGCTCTTTCTTCCTTTCCTTTAAAAGGGGGAGCTCAGTTTCATCACAGAGGGGAACACGGGAAGCAACGGTGTTGGCTTTGAGCAGTAATGTTCAGATATTTCACTCACGTCCTCTACTAGTAAAACAATTTTTTCCCATCCCGTTAGAATATATAAATTGATTTATTTATAAATTATTTTCATGGACTAGTACTGGCTACTAGTCAAGGCATAGTATGAACTTGAGGGGACATGTATCATTAAGGAAGTCAATAGAGATTCGGTTTCAAATCACATTCTCGGTCACCCCAGACTTTTCGGTTGGCTTCATGTCAGATCTGATTATGTGAAAATAAAATGCAACCCAGAAGAGATGAAACACAGTAAGAAGTTTTAACATTTGATAGTTTGCTCCTCACCCCAGATGACTTAGTTGGGCCCCTGTTTTGGAGACCCTGGGCTCAGGGGAAAAGCCCTGGAAGGGAGGACATGGCAGGGCTGAGGGTTAGCACCTGGCCTCCGGTGAGAAGCCTCCCGCTGTCTCAGCGAGAAGAGCTCTCCTGTTGTTGACTCCCGCACGCACGACACTTACTGGCGGCGTTTACAGACAGGGCAGCCCTTGATTTGAGTCCTTGTCACAGCTTTGCCACAAATGGGACCTTGAGCAAGCCCATTTCTGTGCACCTGAGCTTCCTCACCTGATTTCCAATCCCACCATTCAGCTCAGTCTAGCAGCTCAGTGTAGCAGCTTCCGTAAATCCTGGGTTCAAATCCACTGAAATCTACGTGGCCTTGAGCAAATCCATTAGCTTTGCTGAGCTTTGTTTTCTGACCTATAAAATGCAAATGCACTTTGCCTGTATGCATAAATCAAAAAACAATATTTTTCTTTCTTTATCTCCTGCATCTGTGGTTCTCACATTTTATGTGTGGCGTCAGAATCCCTGGGAAACTTGGGTCAGTGCACATTCCTTCCCTCCCACCCCTCCCACCCCACCCCATCTCTGTGGCTATGAATCAGAGCCTCAGGGGTGCAGGCCAGCAATCTGCATTTTTATGGGCTCCTGCATGGTTGTTCCCATAGTAGGTGGTCCCTGTGCCACCAGCCTTTGCACATCTCCTGCCACACCAAGCACAGAGCTTTGAACTTGGAAATGTTTAAAAGAAAACTAAAGGACAGAATGGGTGAAGGCAGGGACAGGGAATGACCGGTGCTCCTGCAGTTTGAGGCTTGACAGCCCAGCCCTGCTGGAAAGTTCGGTGTGGTCAAACCATGTTTTTCAGCTCCCTGATGTCTCCTGTGGTTCTGTTTTGACAGGTGTACCTGGGGCTGGTGCAGCAGAAGTTGCCAGCTCAGTGCTGGCCAGGGAACAGGAGCTGAGGAAGGGCAGGAGGTGTGACTGGCCCCCTGTCCTGCCCCAGCTGGAGAGGTGGTGAGGTTGCTGGGGTAGAGTGAATGGGCCCGCCTGGGGTGCCCAGCGTTTTTAGAAGTGCTCAAAGGACGTGGCCCAGGCCTATAGCGTCTAGGAAGTCCCTTGTTCTCCTTAGAAGGAGGCCCAGGAGTGACTTCAGGGCTTTGCAAATCTGGTGGGGATTAAAACCACCCCAATGGCGAAGGCCATGCATGCATGCTTCTAATCCAGTGACTGAAGTTCCACTGGCCATCACTGCTCAGTGTGGGTTTAGACTTCATTGCCTTGGACCTGGCAAGTTCCAGAAAAGCAACCGAGCAGGCCAGGAGAGAGAGCACTTGGCTAGAACTGCAGGACCGAGGAATGCAGTGTGCCAGGCCCGTCACGGATTTCGCTGCCAGCTTTGCCCGTAGTCACTCTTGCACTTGTGTCTCTAAGTTTTCCCTCCCTTTCCCTTCGTGGGCACAGCTCACTGGACTAGGGTAGACCTTGGATCTAAGGAGTCATTATGGGATTGCTCTCCTAGAAATGGGATTGGTGGGCTGGGTCTAGTGGTGACAAGTAGTGGCTCTGCTTGGCCCCACCCCCATTCTCCCACCCCTTTGCTCACTTCCTTCACTGAGCACTCCTCCCCCCAAAACAGGGCCCAGGCCTTGCACTCTGAACACAGGCCGTGTTCTACTGGCAAACGATGTTGCTGTGCCTTAAGCGTCCTACTGGAGCAGGCCCCGGCTAACCCACGGGGGACCCAGCTGTCCTCTGCCTCTCGTGGACCCCACTGGGCCAGGCCCCCTGGGGAGGTGTGGCCTGGTCCCTGCCTCCTCTTCTGCTCTGTCTCCTTGTCTCAGAGACAAAGGCAGGAGGCAGGAGGTACCGCGCAGGTGTCCGGGCCTGCCCTGTTTTCCAATCTTGTTTCTGCTAACGAGCCCTGGGGCCACACTGCCAGGCCCAGGGAGCTCAGTTTCCCACCTGGTTCCGGTTTCTAGGAGTGGCTCCTTCAGACGCTCTTGGTCCCTGGCCCCAAGGGTCCCTGCGAGCTCCTGGCAGAGCTCAGTGTTTCTGGAATGAGGGGTCAAGATGTTAGATCCAGGCCTTCTCTTCCCGGTTCTTCCCGGAGTCGGGAAAAGCTGGGTTGAGAGGGCGAAAAAAAAAAAAAAAAAAGATGTTAGATCCAACTGCACAGTGGGACTGAATTTCTAGGGGACCTTTGTCATGGGTTGCCCTTCACAGGCCAACGTGAAGCGGGGCCCAGGTCAGACAGAAAGGACTAGCAGACACTCCCGTCCTGGAAACAGCTCTTTACTGAGTCAGTAATACTATGTCGCGTGATATTATCGTATGTAGACGGGAGTTACACAGCCGTGGGGCGGGCAGGCAGTGCAAGCCAGTTGCACGTCCAGGACAGTAAGGAAGGGGACAGAAAGGCTTTGAGCGGGGAAGGGCTGGTCTCTGAGTCCGTGTTGGGGAGGAGACAGCTCCACGCCCCCAGCCCAGGGCTGGTCTGAATCGGTTTGAACATAAAGGCAGGCAGGTTACAGCGAGTGTAGCCAGTGGGAGACCTCCAGCCTGCAGGGTGACTTCCCAGCGCCCCTTTCAGCCAGTGTGCACAGGAAGTTGGCCGGGGCCGAGGGGTGATGGCAGAGGGGGGCCTCTCGTGGGTGTCCAGGCCCCTCCCACTCCTAGTCCAGCTGGCTGCTGACACGGACACCCTCTGGGCCATTCTGGGTCCTCGTGGGACGAGGTCAGCGTGTGCCCATGGGCAGGAGAGTCGCCCTGTTCTGAGAGGTCGGCCCTCCTGCGGCCTGGTCTTCCTGCCACCCTAGAGGAGCCCCCTCGGGGAACGGGGCAGCCCAGCCTGGGGAAGGGCGGCAAGGGAGGCAGCTGTGCAGAGAGAACCTTCTCGCCCGCCTCTGTGTCCCGCCTGGGGCTCCCTGTGTGCTGGGGACCATGCAGGCAGAATGTTCTGGGGCCTGCAGGGTCACCCCATGATGATAAAACTCCTGCTTGGATTCCATCCAGGCCGTTCCTGAGAGGCAGAGGTGAGGATGAAAAGAGGAATTTTCTGGACACGTGAAGAGAACATGTTGCACTTCCCAGGCCCACGGTGGGAGGTGGGGTAGCTTCCCAAGGACTCTGTCTCCACCAGGATGGGGAGGGTCATGAGGTTGCCAGATCCGCCTTATCTCTGGAGTTTTGACCACAACACCCTGCAGAGGTCTCCTTGGGTCTTGTCAACCACAGGGAGCCCCAGGACGCTGCTGGGTGTGACAGAGCCGGTCACGTTCAGAGACAGACCCGAGACATTCCCCCCGAGGTAGCCACCTCCCCAGCAGGCTCAGTCACAGGAGAGGGGGCCTTCTTCTGCCTTCTCCTCCTGCCCAGCCCCCCAGCCAGCAAGGCAGTGTGCGTGTGCGTGTGCGTGTGCGTGGAGGGGGCTGCTTTCCTATGGCACGGTCACTATGGGGGAGCCCACAGCTGTAGGGTCAGCCCTGGGAGACCCCTCTTCAGAATCAAAGGACCACAACTATCTGTAGGAGACGTTTTCTTGGGGAGCTCCCGCTACCCTGAGCCCCCTTTGGCATTCTGTGTGGCAGTGTCCGGTCCAGGGACCCTCCTCAGTAGGAGCTCTGGCTTCCTGGTGGGCCTGGGGGCCCCGGGAGGCCGGGGGGCCCCTGGATCCCTGGTTCACCCTTAGGGCCCATGGCCCCCCGCTGGCCTGGAGACCCTGTCTTCCCTGCGATCCCTGGTTTTCCCTGAGGCCCCTCTGGCCCTGGAGATCCTGGGGGCCCCTCTGGCCCTGGGGGCCCCACATCCCCTTTGGGGCCTGGCTGTCCCCTCGGGCCTCCATTTCCAAAGCTGCCCTTTAAGCCTTTGAGGCCCGGGAACCCTCGAGGGCCAACCGGTCCCCTTTCTCCCACAGGTCCAGCTTCTCCGGGATTCCCCTGAGGGCCCTGGGGTCCTGGGGGGCCCAAGCTGCCCGGGTCTCCTTTGGGTCCTCGGCTGCCAGCAGGCCCTTTCACGCCCCCGTCTCCTTTGACTCCTCTTGGTCCTGGAGGGCCGGGGGCACCTGGGATTGGAGAGAAGAAGGGAGAGGTCAGTCTGGGAGGGGCTGCCGGCCCAAGGCTCGCCCCCGGACAGAGGGTCAGACAAGCCCAGGTCCACGCCTCTGGGCTCAGGGAGTGTAGGCGACTGCAGCTCCCTTGAGCCTGCTTTACCACTTGGGGGTGAGAGCAGCAGACTCTGTGCGACAACACATGACCGTGTCCGCATGAGGCCTGTGCCTGGCAGACCCGCATTATTCTGCCTTCGAGAATCGTCCATAGCTCCAGACATGCAGCCAAGTTGGGAGATCCAGAGAACCAGATCCTTCCAGGAAAAGGCCAAGGTTGTCCGGAATTGTCTGTCTTGCTCTTGAGGCCGGGCCGGCCTCCTACACCTCCTCATGGCCTTTGACCTCTGTACTCACCCCCAGCCCACCCCTATGACCTCCTGGGTGTCTGGCAACAGGGGTGGAGTCGGGGGGCATGGAGGAGAAAGCCAAAAAGCAAGGCACGAGAAGCAGGCGCCACCCAGTGTGAGCAGTCAGCACAGTGACCCCTCAGAGAAAGGGGATCCCCCCAGGAACCCGCCCCTGACCACTCCTGCTTCTTCTTGGAGCTCTTAAAGCTACTGTAATAATTTCTGAGTCTTTTAGTTGACACATAGAAAAAGAAGTCAGGCCAGGCGCAGTGGCTCACGCCTGTAATCCTAGCACTCTGGGAGGCCGAGGCGGGCGGATTGCTCGAGGTCAGGAGTTCAGACCAGCCTGAGCAAGAGCGAGACCCTGTCTCTACTAAAAATAGAAACAAATTATCTGGACAACTAAAAATATGTAGAAAAAAAAATTAGCTGGGCATGGTGGCACATGCCTGTAGTCCCAGCTACTTGGGAGGCTGAGGCAGGAGGGTCGCTTGAGCCCAGGAGTTTGAGGTTGCTGTGAGCTAGACTGATGCCACGGCAGTCTTCCCTGGGCAACAGAGCGAGACTCTTTCTAAAAAAAAGAAAGAAAGAAGAGAAGTCACAGCACAGTGAAAGCAAATAGTCGGTGCCTATCCAGTAGATGGGGGGGAGCCCCAGGAAGACAGTGAGGGCACAGAGCCGGCGTGTAGCTGGAAGCTCAGCGTGTGCTTGAAGAGGGTGATCACCAAGCAGTGCACCCTGCTACGGGCCTGGCTCTGGACAAGCACCGGGGGAGAGGCTGAGATGAAGATATGGCCCTTCCTCGAGGACCCCTGCCCAGTGCCCACGCCAGATGCCCTCCTGTCCTCTGGCTTCGTAGGTCTGAGGGTCTCCACCTCTCAGAGTTGTGCCAACCCTGAGGACACAGTGGAAAGTGGCCGTCACTGCCCAGGCATGTCAGCACACCTCAGGACCACACAGGAAAGAGAATTGGCCGGCCCTGTGGGGACGGCAGTGGTGGAAAACAACTGCTTTAGCCATCACAGGGACAAGGCACAGGGTGGACCTGGCTTTCTCCGGTGGGCTGGGCAAGGGATAAGTGGGTGGGGCTGGCAGGAGCTGAGCGTGCCAGGGCTGGCCTGGAAGGCGAATTGTAGTGCCCAGGCCCAGGTCTCCCGAGAACTCTGCTGTTTAATCAGGCCCTTTGCAATCAAGTGCTAGAGTTTTTGAGCTCTGTGTGACCTAGTCCAATTCTTTTATTTCACAGTGGAGCCACCAACGGCCTTGTGCCTTCCTGGGCAGAAATCAGAGCCCAGGTGGGGCCCTGAGGTGCAGGACTCTGTGTGCTGGGAGCCAGGAGCCCTCTGAGCTGCCACAGTTCAGTTCTGTGACACGGGGCCCCTTCATCCTGGCTGGTGCAACCTGAGCTCTCCCTGCCCCGTGCCACCCACCCTCTGCTGTCCCCTCTGTCTCGTCCAGGAGTGTTTCTAAGTGGAACAGTGTCAGCAAATACCGTCCTCTATCATGACCTAGGCTGGACACCTCCCGCCATGGGGCAGTGGCCCAGCGTCTGTGCCAGCGGCAGCAGGGCTCAGGCTCTGCCAGTGGGCTGGCCGGGGCGAGGGGTGGCCAGCAGCAATGGCCTCGGAGAAGCCGGGAAGCGGGCGCTGCCGTCTGGCCCACAGTGAGCGCAGGCGCTGGGCAGGCAGAGCGGCGAGGCGCAGGCCAGAGCCCACGCGGGAGCCGCCCCCCCTCCCCCGGCAAGACCTGCTGGGACTGGCAGAGCCACAGCGTCTGTCTGTCTTCACCCTGCCTCTGCTCCCGGCCCCCGGGCCAGCCGAGGTTTGGAAAAGCAGGGAGTTTCGCAGAGGTGGAGGGCCCCAAGAGGCTGCGTGGCGCTGCTGGGCAAGCCCCTCTCCCGTCCCAGAACTCAGGCCTCTCAGCAGCGAGAGCAGCTCTTGGCTTCTAAGGGCCCCTGCAGCTCTGGGACCTTGGCTGCGTTTGTGTTTTCCAGCCAGATGTTCCCCAGGGTGCATGTCCCCAGCTCCCTGGTCCTTCGCTCTCCCGCTCTCGCCCTGCGTAGACAAGTGCACAGTCCCCACCCCCAGCCTCCACTCAGGGAAGCCTGGCACGTCTCATCTGGAGAGATGCCTGCCCACGCCCAAGCCCTCACTTTCTCCCTGGGACCCCCAGGGCGACTTCTCTTCCCAGCCCCGAGGAGCACAGCAGCCGCTACGGGGATTTCCAGGGGTTTCATGCCAGCAGCCAAGCAGAAAGGCAGAGATATAGGCCCCCCTTCTGGGGGAGCTTCCGGCTTCTTTCTCCGGGTGGGAGGCCCAGCGCCCACACGTTGCTGGCGGAGGCTGGTGCAGAAGCCACGACCGCGCCGTCCGCGTCGTTCCCCGGGGCTGCAGCCCGAGAGAGGAGAGGGAGAATGAAGGAGAAGGGCTCCCTCCCAATCCACGTCCACTCCCCCCTCCCGACTCCTGGCCACGGCTGCCACTGCCACTGCCACGGCTGCCACAGGTGTGGTGGTGCACACCTGTTGTCCTAGCTACTTGGGAAGCTGAGGACCCAGACGGGGGCAGCGGCGGTGGGGACCTGTGTCCCACGCAGCGGCCATGAGATGGGGTGGATGGCGCCATCGGGGCTAGCTGCATCTCACGGGCCTCTGTGTGGGCTGCTGACGGGGACCTGTGCTGCAGACAGACCCCTCCCTGGCCACCCATGTCTCAGCCAGCTGACGGAGCCCGCACTGTGCGGGGTATCAGGTGGCCCAACGACAGACGGGTCTGGCCCACTCGCTATCTGCTGTGGCCTGCATCCTTGAATCTCCCACGGCAGGGAGAAGGGAGGGACCAGGAGAGCATCTGTCAACCTTTGTCAACACTCATCCGCTGAGTGTCTGCTATGTGGCCGGCAGGAGGCTGCGGCCTCACTTCACAGGCGAGAATCGTGGTGCAGAGGGTGGCAACTTGGGAGGTCAGGGCCCAGGGTCCCAAACTAGCCCAAGAGGCTCTGAGACCCATGCTCCTGCCCCCACGCCTCTGCCTCTGCTCCTGGTCACACCACGGCGGGGCCTCCTGGGCCTCTTCCAGCGTCCCACGGCCGAGGCCTCTGGTCCTGGTGCCTCCTGGAAGAGGGGAGGCCCCACTCTCTGAAGAGTGCTGGGGCCCTTGTGGAGCAGAAGGGGACTCGGGCAGACCATTTTCCTCAGGTGAGCAGAGCCCCCTGCCCCTGCGGCCAGCCGTGAGTCATGCGGCCGGCGGGAGACCTGGGCACGGCCTGGTCTGGCCAGGGAGGACGTCAACAACCGTAGTTTAGTGGTCAGCGTGGGGGGAAGGAACGTGGGTGGAGATGATCAAGTCTCTCTCCAGGACAGCATGCCCCGACCTGGCCAGGAACATTGGCAAAAGTAAAGGGCAGAGGAGGGAGGGCTGGCGGCCACGCTGGGCAGAGGGGAGATGCCTCGGGCCAAGGGGGACACGAGAGCAGAGGGGCTGGGAGAAGGCCCAGTGCGCCCCGGAGTCCGGGGAACCCGTGATTACTCAGGAAGCCACAGGCTGTAATCAGGCTCTCCAGGCCCATTAGTGTCCAGCCACAGCTGACTGCATGTCTGGGAGCCGTGGGGTGGCCTCCCTCTGTCGTCTGCACTCAGGCAGGGAGGGGCTGTGGGGTGGGCAGAGTACCCAGGGTCTCAGGCACGAGCACCACCCACTCAAGGGGCAGGAGGTGCATGGTGGGAGAAGCCTGCACATCTCATGGCCAGAGGCCACCGGCCAGCTTATACAGCAGAAGGAAATAAACCAGAAGGGATGCCTCTGGGGGGACTGGCCTGATGCCATGGAAGGCACACTGGCATGGACATCAGGCACCCCAGGTTTGAGTCCCAGCCCTGGTATTAGCAATTGGGTGGCTCAGCCTCAGGCTCCCTCTGCTCAATGAGTATGCTGGCCTGGGACTAGTTTATAAAAGACTGAACCTCCCACTGAGAACCAACAGAGCTGTTGGAGAAAAGACCAAAACACCTTTCTGGGCCAGATGCAGTGGCTCACGCCTGTAATCCTAACACTCTGGGAGGCCGAGGGGGGAGGATAGCTCGGGTCAGGAGTTCGAGACCAGCCTGAGCAAGAGCGAGACCCTGTCTCTACTGAAAAAAATAGAAGAAAAAAAAATTAGCCGGGCAACTAAAAATAGAAAAAATTAGCCCGGTGTGGTGGTGCACACCTGTTGTCCCAGCTACTTGGGAAGCTGAGGCAGGAGGATCACTTGAGCCTGGGAGTTTGAGGTTGCTGTGAGCTAGGCTGACGACATGGCACTCTAGCCTGGGCAACAGAGTGAGACCCTGACTCAAAAAAAAAAAACAAAAAAACAAAAATGTGTGGTGGCTCACACCTATAATCCTAGCACTCTGGAAGGCTGCGGCAGGAGGATCGCTGGATCACTTGAGGTCAGGAGTTCAAGACAAAAAAGGTTTGCAAGGACATCTCTTAAAGCGGCCTTTTGCTGCAGGCATTTGCTAGGGTATTGCGTTGGCCCAGTAGCATTTGACCTAAATCCAAGTACTTCTGTGTCCGGCAAGATCGCCAAGGCCACCCCGTGGCGGCTCCGTGGCAGCCCTGCCTGGACCCGGCTCTTACCTCGGAGGACGGTGACGTTGCGGAGGATCTCTCCGTGCTGCGTGTCCACGGCCTTCATCTCCTCCACGATCATGGAGAGGTTCCGCACATTGAGGTCCAGCCGGGCGCTGAGCAGCCCGAAGCGCTCCCGGAGCAGGTCCGTGGTGCCCAGCATGAGGGAGACCGACTTGTTCAGGTAGTAGAGCTCCTCGGCGTGGCTGTGGAAGCCCAGCGTGCAGGAGAGCCGCACGTCGTCCAGGTACTTGAGCATGCTGTGCACGTGGTTGTCGGTGGCATTGATGTTGGTGAAGATGGTGCCGATTTCGATCTCGTGAGACGCCATGCGCCCTTCCAGCGACTCGAACCTCTCCACGGTGCGGTTCTGGGCGTAGCGGGTGTGGTACTGGAGGTCGTGCATGTTCTCCTCGTGGTCGTCCAGGAAGGACGAGATGTTATCCAGCTGCAGCTGCAAGCCCATGACCTGCAGCACCAGGTCGTGCATGCTCTCGGCGTTCTGGCTGATGCGTTGGGACGAGGCCCCCAGGGAGGCTTGGATGCTCTTGACCACCTCCCCGGTCTTGGTGGAGGTGGTGCGCAGGCCGCTGAAGAGCCGGGTGTAGTTCTGCCAGTCGGTGACAATCTTCTGCAGGGTCAGGGTCTCCTCATCCGTCTTTCGCTGGATTCCGTGGATCCACTCGGAAGTCTGCCCCACCGTGAAGTTGATCTGGTGCACCGCAGCCTTGGCGTCATAGCACTCCTGGGTGAGGTCCTTCAGAGAGAGGTCCAGGCCAGCAGTGGTGGCCTGCCAACCTCTCACCTGGGTCAGGAAGAGCCCCAGAGACTGGTTGACCTGGTGGATGGAGAAGGAGCAGCTGCCCATCTCCTGGGAGATTTGCCTGCTGGTGCTGGAGAGCAGTTCATGGGCCTGAGAGGTCTGGTCCAGCTGCACCTCCTGGGCTAGAAGCTTCTTCTGAATTCCCTCCAGCTCCTCCTGCAGTTTTCGGATCTCTGGCCCCAGCTGTCTGGCTTCGTGGCAGAAAGAGCAGTTGTTCAGGGCTTTTGGATCTTCAGGAGAAAGAGACCACAGTTTGAGGTGTTGAAAGGTCATGGTATTAATACAACGGTTCTCCTTTAAATTAACTATTTCAGAGCAAGTGGCTTCCCAACCTTGCTCCCTTCCCCAAGTCCCGCTAGGAAATCCTCAGAAGAAGACAGTCATTGCTGTCTCTATGGGATCTCTTTGCTAGCAAATGTCTTGACTATGATCTGAAATGGAGGATTTTGAATGTTTTTTCCATTTCACCAACAAATTCTCAAGAATATCTCTCCCTCACTTTTCAGAGGCAGCCAAGAACCTCCCATTAAAGCTTCATTGTCAGATTTCTCCAAATAGCTTCATATCTGTTATCTTCTCACAATAAGCTTGCAGGGAAGGCGGCACAGGGATTTTCACCCTGTAACTCAGGAGGAGCCAGACACAGAGAAGTGGATTGCCAAATAGCACTCAGCTGGTGACAGACCAGAACTTTCTATTTGCATCAGAGCAGACCCCCTCCAAACCCTTCTGTCACCGCTCCTCTGTCCCATTCTCTCTTAGAATGTTCCCCATTAAAGCAGGAGATAAGAAGAACATCATGCACTGTGGCACGGTTTAAGCAGTGATGAGGAAAGGACTGACCTGTCAGGAGGTTTTGGAAGGGTCTGAAACTCGTCATTTCAGATGCATGGGGATAATTTGGGAATGGACTATATTTAGGCTCCTTTTCTGCCTGGAGACTCTGGCTAGATCTGCGCCCCACACAGAACCCCTTGCCCCAGCCCTGGGCATGTCCCAAGGTAGCAGCCTTCTTTGATGGAAGCTGCATTGGCTGGAGAGGGAAGCAGGGAGCCAGGGGTTCCTTCTCTTGTGTCTACCATGTTTCCCCGAAAATAAGACAGGGCCTTATATTTATTTTTCCTCAAGAAGATACCTAAGGCTTATTTTTAGGGGATGTGTTATTTTTTTTAAGTACAGTACAACAATCTACATTTATTCAAATAGAGTTAAGTCATCTTCTTCTGGAACATCATCATCACTCTCCAAACCCCGAATTCCATCCTGAATTTCTTGCGACTCTATTTCCTTTAGAACCATTGGCCCCAATCTCTCATGTGGAGCCACAGAGCTCTCACGGGGCAGATGAGAAGGGCTGCTCGTCTTCTTTCCCGCTCCACGACGACATGCATGGGTTGTGCAGATGCGCTGCGTAGCCACGCCCAGCACTAGGGCTTATTTTCGGGGTGGGGCTTCTATTGCGCAAATGCTTAGAAATCCTGCTAGGGCTTATTTTATGGGCAGGTCTTATTTTCGGGGAAACACGGTAAGACGCTGGTGAAGGCTGCCCTGCTCCGTGGCACTGGGACGGCACGCTTGCCCCACCCAGTTAACGCTGGCCACAGTCACTAGCACGCCCACCTACCCAGTCCCTGGAGATTCTCCTGCATCGACACAAGCTTCTTGTCATATACGGCCTGGGCCAAGGAGATGTCTTCCGAGAGAGCGTCCACCTTCCTGAACACTGTAGGGGAGAAACAGATGAGAGACCGGGGCAGGTCTTAGTTCAGAGAAGCAGCAGTGTTTGCTGAGAAGGCATTTTTATCGGCCTGTCTGCAACCAAACCCATCCCCCTCTGCTACGAGGCTTCCCAACGGCGGGAAGGGAAGGTGCTGCTTATGGCCAGAGTTCAACACACAGCCCTCTAAAAAAATAATAAGCCACCCCCCACCTTAGACTTTAGAAATTTAGAAACAGGACCCAGAACATAGGTTAGAATAGGTGAAAATCAGAAAAAATAAAATAAAACAGAAAATAAAAATTATTCTTAATCCTACTACCCAGGGATTGCCACCATTGGTATCCTCATGTATTTCTTCTAGTCTTGTTCACAGTGAGAACCGTTCTTCTTCTACAGCTACAGAGACAAGTCCCCTTGTCCTTGGGTGGGCAGGGGGTGGGGGTGGGATACATTCCAAGCACCCAGTGGATGCCTGAAAGTGAACCCTATATATTCAAATTTGTTGGTGACTTTGGTCATTAAGTCCATTAACCTTTCTGGAACTCAATTTAATCATCCATCAAATGCAAATATGGAGCCAGAGATGTCTGAGGCTCTTATCAGCTCCCAAATCCTATTCTTTCAAATGATTTGGAATCTCTGGGCTCCAGTGAACACTGTACATCTCAAAGCTGTCAAGAGATTTGTCTAATTAGTAACAGCAACATGTTGAGAGAACTGAGAACAAACATATGCTATTACAGGAGACTAGCACTTTACAGTGTACAATAGTTATTATTCCTCTTGGGCCTCCCTCCAGTTGAGATATAGAGGGAAGAAGAGAGGTGGAGAGAGACTGGATGACTTGAATTCCTGTTCCAAGGCTCCATTAAGTCTACTTATAAGCCACCCATGAGGCCAGGATGGTGCCAACAATGTTCTAGTGTCCTGGCATACCCAAACTGGAGGCAGAAACACAAAAGGAAACCCCAAAAGTCTGCCATAATTTGCCAAACACACACTGCTCACTCCTAGTTCTTCTCATGCTTTGCTTATTCACTCTATATCTTTGGGAAAAACATGTAACCTTCCCAGCTCTGTTCTTTCCTATGAGCAATGGGCCAACCTCCCATTTGAGGGCTGTTGAGAGGACTTATGGACATCACGTATGTGACAGTGCCTGGAACTCTGTCATCCCCTCTGAAACGCTTTGGTGCCTGCGCTCCACTCTGGGCTCGGGCCTGCGACTACAGGGAGCTTTATTAATAGCTGCAGGTCCCCGGCGTGCTGCACATTGAGGTCCCGAAAGGGTTGACAGGAACCTTTGCAAGGTCTCTGATGGCCAGTTTGCTGCCTCTGATCTGTGGGCCGTGGCTTGTCTCCTCTTCTGGCCCGGGACTTTGGCTACTTTCTGAAAGGCCACACCCGGTAAAGTGACTCAGCAGAGAGAAGTGAAACTGAATAGGGCGAGGGGCTTGGGAAGTTCTGAAATCTGTGGTCCTGACAGCTGGCTACACATTGGATTCCACCGAGGAGCTTTTATAAAAGATTAAGGCCTAGGTCCTGCCCGGAGATGATGATTTAATTCATCTGGAGTGGGGGCTGGCACTGGGATTTTTAAATGTTCTCCAAGGGATTCTAATAGCCCCCCACGAGTGGGGAGAACCACTCCCTTTGATGGCGTGATATTGCTCTCAGTGTTCCCACTACCAACAGCAGTCACGTGACTTGTGTTGGATTAATTAGTGCCTCCAGATTTACTGGAAGATGGCTTGTGTCTACTTAAATCATTACTATACTAGCCTCTGCCTTCCAGCCAAGAAGGCTGGTTACTGAACAGCTCCCACTAGGGCCAGGGCCAGGTGCCCCTCTTAGGGTTAGCACTGAGAGCCAGGGCCAACTCCCCCCACCCCCGCCCGTGACTCAATTACCCTCCCTACTCCAGGCTTTGTCTCTAAAATCTAGTAGACTGGCACGAACAAACTACTGAAGCCTGGATTTTCAACGTCTGAAGCCAAGGATGGAATGGGATTGCAATGAGACACCACCGCATTTGTTTTAACCAGTTTACCATAATCAGCATCCAGAAGGTGGAAGTTTCCAGAATCTGTATACTGTGTCGCCTGTAGCTACGACAGTCATACAAACTGTAGTACATAGGAGAAGAACCAAACCTAAGCTCCCTGGGCCTCGCCACCGGACTCTGACTTAGCAGGTCTGAGTGGGATCCAGGAATTTGCACATAATAAATGATGGAGGTGACACTGATGCAGGTGGCTGTCCAACCTCACTTTGAGAAACATTCACATGGACCATCCGAGGGGCTTAGAAGTCACTGGTCCAGTGATCCCAACCCTGGGTGTACAACAGAGTCATCTGGAGGCCAAAAGACAGTGAATCAGTTCCACTATCTGGGTTGGGGCCCAGGCATCAATATATTTTAAAGCTCTTGGTGACTCTAACACAGAGCTGAAATGCAGAGTCACTAATGGAGTCCTGTCGTCTCCTTTTATCAACGGAAAAACAGAGGTCCTAAGGGGGTGCCTTGCTCAAGGACCCCCAGCTAATTCGGAGCCAGCCTTTGCAGTCTGGATTGGGCATTAAGGTTCCCCAGCCAGGGCCGGGCGCGGTGGCTCACACCTGTAATCCTAGCTCTCTGGGAGGCTGAGGCGGGCGGATTGCTCGAGGTCAGGAGTTCAAAACCAGCCTGAGCAAGAGCGAGACCCCGTCTCTACTATAAATAGAAAGAAATTAATTGGCCAACTAATATATATAGAAAAAATTAGCCGGGCATGGTGGCACATGCCTGTAGTCCCAGCTACTTGGGAGGCTGAGGCAGAAAGGATTGCTTGAGCCCAGGAGTTTGAGGTTGCTGTGAGCTAGGCTGACGCCACGGCACTTACTCTAGCTTAGGCAACAAAGCGAGACTCTGTCTCAAAAAAAAAAAACAAGGTTCCCCAGCCAGAAAGATGCCAGTTCTGGGCCCTTGGTACAGATGTCCAGGGTCTGTCCTTGCAGGGAGCTTTAGGTGCTTGAGCGCTGACCAGACAGTGCCCTTCAGCCCGGGGTGGGCGAGCCCTGGACTCACCCAGAGAGGCCAGCACGGCCACGGCCACCAGGAGCAGGGCCAGGAAGAGGTAAAGGATCCGCACGGACGTGTGCAAGGACAGGTTCCTCTGGCAGCGGCTGCAGCGGGGCCCTGGCCGGCCTGTGGGGGACAGAAGCGGGGCAGGGGCTCAGGCCAGTGGCCCAGGCGGGAGCTGAAGGGCAGAGCCCTGTTCCTGCTCTGGCCGGTCCCATCATGTCTCAAACCAGGCTCAGAAGGGGCGTCGTTCTCGACCCTCATCCTCTTCCCACCTCACCACCTTTCTCTAGGTGGCAGCACTTTCTGGAATGGAGTTGATCAAGCCAGGGTCTGCAAACAGCAGCCTCATCACTACTGTCCCCCTCTCTGTGCCATCTCACTCATTCCGCGGCCTGAGGCAGCCCCGCTTCCCCTCGCCCTGGTCCCACTGATGATCCATGACACGGACGGCAGCCTGTTGCACCCCTGGGTGCCCAGTGTGTTCTGCTTGCCCAGGTCCCTCCAGGTTCCAGCCCTGGGAGTCCCCAGGCACGGGAACACCTCAGCGTGGGGCAAACCAGGGTGGTTTGTGAAGACTGTCTCTGTTCTTAAAACTGGAAGTCCTACGCCCTGGGAAACCCCCCAGTCCTGGGCAAGCCAGAGGGTCAGTCACCGGTCGCCAATCTTAGCGACAGGCAGCGGTTCTCCTGGAAACCGAACCCAGCCCACCAGTGGGGGTGCTGGTATGGGGGAAGGAGGGTGCCGGTGTTCCTGGGCACTCTGGTGAGTGGCAGGTGCCCAGCGGGAACCAGTGACGGCCCCACTGTGAAATTCCCGAGGCATGTGTGAGGACCGGGAGTGCTTACAAACCCTGTGTCCGTCCACACTCCAGACCAAATGAATCAGGATTTCCCAGGTGGGTCCCAGGCAGCCCTGGGTGATTACAATGCTCTAATCTATGCTGGGAGCCACCAGAGGCCCTACTCCAAATAGCAGTTCAGGTGCCCTGGGGCATGATGGAGGGGACAGTTCTGGGTCAGCTAAGACAGAGGACAGGGTGTCTGGCTGGCAGAGGTGGCAGAAGTCCCTGATAGGTCCCGGGAGGAGCCCTGGAGACAGATGGCACTTGGGGCAAACTTGGACCTCACCCCGACTGCATAGCACAGGGCATGAACTCTGCCCTTTGACCCTCCAGGACGCAGTGAGGAAAGGACAGCCAGGGTTTTGAAGTCAGAGAGAGAGACACACACACACATCTGTCACCAGCCTGGGGACAGGGACAGGAAGCTCTCAGCCCAGAGAGGGGATGGGTAGTCCCCAGGGCCCTTACCCTCCTGGGTGCACGGGAAGGTTGGCATGTCCTCCTCTTCACCAGCCAGTTCCTCTTCTGTGACGCACAAGGCATCTCCGTCGCCGCCGGCTGACCTCACTGTGGGGGAGCCAGTGCCATCAGACCCCCGGCCGGGACCCCGGGCCGTGCCACCCTTCCCCAGCTGCCCGTTCATCTGCCCGTCCCCACAGCCTGTGCCCGCCCCCACCCCTGGGTCCAAGCCAGGTGACCTGGTGTAAGCTGCGAAAAGGGGGATGGACATGAGAATCAGGTGGCTGCGGAGCTGGGCTGGCCCATCGTCCCGGGTAGGGAGATCTTGCCACCTCCTGCAAGCTGGGAAAGGGCCATAGGCCAGCTCAGCAACCTACTCTCTCTGCACTTGCTCAAGCCCCCGGGCTGGGCAAGAAGGAAGAAGAGCTGGTGGCTCGATGTGACTCAGCGCCTTCCATTCCCTGACACCTGGTGACCAAAGCAGAATTCCTGTTGTCCAGGGACAAGGCTGGACCTGGCCCCAGCACGCTGCCCACCTAGACTCCACATCCAGCCCAGCTGTGGGGCCAAGGAGAGGAGGAGCCCAAGGGTGGGAGGATACGGAATGGGCACAGACCTCTGCCTCCCACTGTCTCACCCGGGACGCGCCAGGTGTCAAAGGAACAGGTCTCCTGTCTGAGGCTGATTCTGAGCTTGTGTTCTGGGATCAGGCCCTAAATAAGACCTAAATGACCTCATTCAGAAGGTTGTACTAGTGCCGTGGAGACCTCACACCTCTCCCTCCTTGTAAGTCGTGGTCTTTTATAAGCAATGAGGAGAAAGACACCTAAAATATGGCTGATCGAGCCAAATCCCTGAGCAAGGCGGGGGGAGGGGGATGGGGGGTGTATAAGAAATGACAGGTGGCCTGAATTGAGCTAACCAGGGCTTTTGTTCCAGGAAGTGGAGGATGCAGGCTCATGAGGAAACCTCAATTGCTTGGGATATGTCTGCAGAAGGGATTTTTTTTTTTTAAACTGTGCCTCCAAATTCAGAGGCAATAAAAGAAAAGATCAAAATATTTGACTGCCTGACAATAAAATAAAAACACTTTTGCATGGCAAAACAAAAATCTGCTAGAAGCAAAGGTAAAAGTCAATACCCAAATGACAAACTGAGAGGATATATTCACAACATACATGACAGATAAAGATAATATACAAAATTTATAAAGAGCTTTTTTTTTTGAGATAGGGTCTCACTCTATTGCCCAGGCTAGAGTGCAGTGGTGTCAGCCTAGCTCACAGCAACCTCAAACTCCTGTGCTCAAGCGATCCTCCTGCCTCAGCCTCCCAAGTGGCTGGGAATACAGGCATGCGCCACCATGCCCGGCTAATTTTTCTATGTTTAGTAGAGCTTGGATCGCCCACGTGTGCACATAGTATATAAACTGAAACCCCAGACCCACATGAGGGCAAGCCCATGTTTAGCCAGCACAGCCCTTTTCTCCTGGCCTGGAGTCTCTGAAGACATGAGGTGTCCCCCTGGATCCTGGCAGATAGATTCCCCACCCCCCTGCTCCTAGCCCCTTGCACCCCTCCTCCCCATTTTTTTTATTTCAGTATATTATGGGGGTACAAATGTTAAGGTTACGTATATTGCCCATGCCACCCCTTCCCCCTCAAGTCAGAGCTTGAAGCGTGACCATCCCCCAAACATTGCACATCTCACTCATTGTGTTTGTATGTACCCATCCCCTCCTCGCCCCTCCCACCTGCCCGACACCTGATAAATGTTATTCCTATATGTCCACTTAGGTGTTGATCCGTTAATACCAATTTGCTGATGAGTACATGTAGTGCTTGTTTTTCCATTCTTGAGATACTGCACTTAGTAGAATGGGTTCCACCTCTGTATACAAGAGGTGCTAGATCACCATTGTTTCTTAAAGCTGAATAGTACTCCATGGTGTAGATATACCGCATTTTATTAATCCACTCATGAATTGATGGGCACTTGGGTTGTTTCCACAACTTTGCAATTGTGAATTGTGCTGTTATAAACATTCGAGTGCAGGTGTCTTTTTCATAGAGTGACTTTTGATCTTTTGGGTAGATGTCCAATAGTGGGATTGCTGGATCAAATGGTAGATCCACTTGTATGGCTTTAAGGTGTCTCCATATTGCTTTCCACAGAGGTTGCACTAGTTTGCAGTCCCACTCCTCCCCATTTTTGCAATGCAGACCACCTGGGGCCAGAGTCAAAATCTCTAGCAACAGGTACATCATGGCACTGACCCACCATCAGGAGGCTGTGACCAGTCAGAAAGGACTTTGGGCCAAGATGACCAGAATGGCTGTCCCAGGGTGTGTAGTGTGACGGCAGCCTGGGAGGACACCGGCCAGGAGTGGGGAACCTGCAGCCTTCTCATTTCACGCCTGTTCCTTTTTAAGCACCAAAAGAGGCAGGAAAAGCTTCATCTTTCTCTGCTGCACCCCTTTTAATTAAAGGATTTGTTCTGTAAAATTTGGATTCGGTCAAAAGGCCACATTTAAGGACCTAGAAGGCCACACGTCCTCCTATCAGACAGGTCTCTGGTCCAGCTGCCCCCCCTTGTGCCCCCCCTCGGCCACATGCTCAAGCGCCCAAGACTCGAGATTCCTGGTCTCCACTTCTGTGCTGTTGACCTGTCTGGCTTCAGCTCCTAATGTGAATTTCTTATTTTTTCCTTCCTCCCTCCCTCCCTCCCTAAAATATCATCCTTCCCGGCTCGCCTCTGTGCCTTGGGCCGCTGTCCCATCAGCAATCTGCCAACAGTTTACAAGGACAGCTCAGCCTGGGCGGCTCCCAGGATTACAATCTCTTTCCCCTGCCCTGGGCGAGGCGGGGCAGGATTCTTCGGTGCCTTCTGTGCCTTCTGTGCCCGGCTGGCCACAAGCTGCCCCTGCTAGCCGTGGCCTCTCACCGCCAAGAGGATCCCGGCCAGAGCCACTCGTGGGCTGTGGGATTTATTTACCACAGCCCCGGCGGGAGGTGCTCCTTCCACTGCTCAGGGCAGATGCCTTCTGGGCTCTGCTCCTCATCCCTGCCCATCCCTAGATGGTGCTCCTCCCTGGAGACGGCCTCCTCCCTGTTCTGGCTGCACGGCCAGTTTCATCACTTTGCTGTTTATGGCCTTTGCAGGGAATCGGGATGACTTAAATCAAGCAAGGCTCACACTGACCATCAGCAAACACCGCTCAGAAAGCACATGGCTTTGTTACAATCTACCGTCCCATGAGAGCCCTGCAGACATGCAATCTGTGGCCTGTGGGGATTAATAACGATTGCTTTTCCGTACTGCAGGGAGTGGCCCATGGGATGGGACGCAACATCTGCCAGCATGGGTGTCAGATCTCTCTAGACTAGGGGCTCCTGAGTGTTTGGTCCTCTTGCCTTCGCTGACATCCCAGCTCCATCTCCTCTTCCTAATCCCTGGGATTTCCTGTTCTCCAGGGCCGCACCCCGACCTCGGGGACCCCTGACTTACCTATGTCTGGAATGCTGGAGCGACTCCCCATTTTAGCCTTGCTCCCTTAATGAGAACATAACCCAAAGCACTTGTGAGGCTTTTATAAACCAAACCCTTTGTAAGCACAAGCTCATTATATTCACATTACAACGAGGTGGTTCTGGTCCGAGTACAAATGAAGACACAGACATAAGGATGAAACCCCTTGGCTGCAGACAGAGTGGTGACGGATCAGAGGACGACGGATAGAGAGGAATCTGCACCCCCCGCCAGCACTGGTCTAGTGGGGTCCATACAGATGGGAAAAGAATTTTCCTCCTCCCTCCCCAGTTCCCCATTCCCCTACCTCCTGGGGCAAAATGACTTAGCCCTGGGTGCATCAGCTTTCTGAAGTGTTTTTAGGGGTAGAGAACCACAGACTGGGAGAGTGGGAAGAGAACTTATAAGTCCACCTCTGTCATGTCACAGAGGCTTAGAGAGTTTAAGTGACCCGCCAGCTGCTTGGTGGCTCCTAAAAGTCCAGGAATCTGCAGCAAGATCCAAATATGCACACATATTTGTCTGCACACACCTGGCTCAGAAAGGCCACCGAGGAGCTGGGACAAGGTCTGACGTCTGCTCTCAAGTCATGCCTCCCAGCAGTGTGCCACCTCCTGGGCTCAGGAGGGCCCCCCCTCAGCCCGTGTCAGCACAGAGCTGATCAGACGCCGCACACCGCGTGCCCCATAAAGGAGCATTTCCCAACCCCTTGCAAAGGCTGTATCCTCAGTTCACCATTCCCCTCTGTTGTTTCAATCAGAAGCTCATGTTTGTCACAAAGTGAAGCTTAATGACTTAAAATATGGTTTAAATCTGCTTTAGTCGCAGAGTTCTTCCCAGCTAGGGAATATTGTGGAGTATCGAGGTTGCAAAGGCTTAAAGCAGCAGAGACAATACTCACAAACCAGACCTGATGATGTTTAAACTTCAAAGGAATGAACTTGTTGGGGGAGGGCAGTAAAATTTAGGCTCTGCTTCTCTGCCCCTTCTCAGAACTAGAACCAGTGGTATGCTATTCCTTTCTTAAAACTAAAGAGGTAGGCCGGGTGTGGTGGCTCACTCCTGTAATCCTAGCACTCTGGGAGGCCGAGGCAGGCGGATTGCTCGAGGTCAGGAGTTTGAAACCAGCCTGAGCAAGACCCCGTCTCTACTAAAAATAGAGAGAAATTAATTGACGAACTAAAAATATATATACAAAAAATTATCCAGGCATGGTGGTGCATGGCTATAGTCCCACCTACTCGGGAGGCTGAGGCAGGAGGATCGCTTGAGCCCAGGAGTTTGAGGTTGCTGTGAGCTAGGCTGACGCCACGGCACTCACTCTAGCCTGGACAACAAGGTGAGACTCTGTCTCAAAAAAAAAAAAAAAAAAAAACTAAGAAGCTCTTGTTTGGGCGTGGGGTGGGGGCGAGTTCTATTTTTTCCATTGTCCTGGCTTGCTGTCTTATAATACTGCCCATATGTCCACGGCCATCTAAGATAAGGCTGTGGTTCTTGTCTGTGTCAAGACCTCACTCTTCCTGCAGCGATAGATACCTAAATTGCAGGCAGCGTGCTTAGAAAAAACTGTCAGATGGCC